GTATTTACGGGATAAGTTAGTAAGATGCATGTAATCTTATTAATTTAAATGCGAATGTTTAGAAGGATAAGATGGATGTTTGCTTGAAGGTAGCTCTAAAATGGATTTCGATGAAATTTAGCATACATATAGAACATAGTCTGATAGAAAACGTAAGCTACTGATTATGCTTCTTTTTTATTTCCGCGCGGACGTCGTCGCTGGCGATCGCTTGTATTTATTATATTCGGAGGCGTGTAATATAATGAAAATGTTAATGTAACATTGTAAATAAACGAAAGGTTAGTTACATATTTGAACAAGGTTGCTAACAATGCTTTTGGGTTGCAAAAATAGTTGAATAATTATATGGAAGTGTTACAATTTGAAATCGTTTACTTTTTCATTGAGTAAACAAACACAATTTCTATAATATTATGTACACATCAACCATACAAATACACAATCTATTATAAGATGTAAGAAGCTTGTCAATCTAAAAACTTTATGAAATCGATACACTAGTTAGAATATTATAAATGCGAATGTTTGGATGTATGAATAGATGTTTCTTATATCTCCAGAAGGGCTGCATGGATCTAGATGAAATTCAGTTTACAGTCTGGAAGAACATCTAGGCAAAGGCGTATGATCCTGGACATATGTACAGTTCCCTCGGGATTCGTTCGATTACATATTTACTTGAACTACGGTTTAACACATCCATTTGAATTTTCGTCCACATATAGAACACAGACTGGACGTATTACACGTGTGATACATTTTACCCATTTTTTTATCCGTGCAGACGAAGTCGCGGGCAGAAGCTATAAAATATATAAATAGATATGATACAATTACGGTAGAGTAGTAATCAATTTATGAAAGGTTTCTTAACGTATGAAATTATGCAAAAAGCGTTACGATTTCTCTTGTCTCGTATTTTACTTATCTTTCACAATGTAACCTTGTTCTCATGACTGGCCTATACGTTAATAGAACAATATTTTACGTTTTTGGAGACATAAAAATAATGAATGTGGTTTTCTATGAAAAAAAAACCTTTGTGTTATTTGTATTTTTTAAAACTATGTCATAGAAAGACTCTAAGAAAGTAAAGATTATTTAGTTTTCATATCTTGTGTGTTTATTTATATATGTTTCTATAAGATTTTATTAAGACAGCTTGCTTGTTATGGAAAATATTTTAATATTAGGGTTTATATGATATGTAAATACTATACTAATATAGGTACTTCTTTCCAAATATAGTTTCGATTTTAAATTTTAATTAATCTACTTATTCATTATTCATCTTCATTCATTTCTAGTTCAGTGGAACGGACTAGCTTTTCGCATATAAGGAGATATACATATGTTTTCGTTTAAACTTATTAGCATCTAAATTAGCATCGGGCAACGAAATATGTATTTTGTAAAATGCGTAAACGCATAATTAATGCATACAAAAATTAGTTTTTTGATCAATTAGTTATGTAATTAAAAAGCAAGACACTTAGTGAGTCTGATAAATAGTAAAATTAATATTAATTATCGCTAGTATTTATCTGTTTAGTAGTTCTACGGAAAGTTTAATATAAAATGCTTAGACATAATTATTTAATGTTTTCGCTGAACTTTTCGAAAATACTTTTTGTTATACAACTTATTAGTTACAATACAAAATACACAAAAATAAATGAAATTACTATTTTCCATTTTATAACAACATACGATAAATCTAGTTAACTTGAACAAATAAAATAGATACGTATCGAGAATTCGAAGAAATTTTATTTCGTAGTATCCAAACAGTATTAAAAACTTTATGAAGACCTACATAGAGTTGTTTTGGTTACTAACTTGCTTATCACAGCGTGATATTGGAAATTTGATAGGATCTAACTACCTGCGCCTCTCTTGTAATAAATCAGTTATTAATTCAATTTATTTTTAGGGTTTGTAATATAATAGTATCTTTTTAATTCTACTGATACAGAAACATTTAAAATATATTTTGTGGGCACGTTATGAGGAGCAAATCGCATGTGTAAAGGAGATCTATAATTTTGAGTGTCGAGGAGTACACTGCTTAGACGTAGGCCTAGGAAGACATGGCATGATAATGGGAGTAACGGCTGAGATGATTTGGAGGACAAAAAATTCTTGCGCCAAGCCTACATAAGTGGGATAAAATGATGAGTTAATGATGATGAATTTTAAACCCGAAAAAGTTTCTTGTTCTAAGTTATTTCATATCCTTTGATGTTTTTAGGAAATGCGTCTAAAAAAAATTACATTAAACTATTTATATAATACTATTTGATTACTATTATAAGATTCAGAATCTGTGAATGTAGATGTATCTCGACTTGCTAGCTAGGATTTACGAGTAAATTAATCGCAATAAAGCAAATTTTAAATCAGAAAAAGTTTAAATAGAAACGGTACATTTATTTTTATATTATTCTCTTATTTGACTCTTGAAATAAAAAAAAAACTAACATCTGTTTTACTGTAATTATGAAAATATTAGAATTCAAAAATATTTTTAATTTACATATACGTTTTAATTTTTTTTAATTTGATAACAAATAGAGTTATTTATCGTGACTTAAATAAAAAGTTGGATTAGTCACGGACTGTTATTTCGTTTAAATTTTTAAAATATTTAATTGATTAGACTTGAACAATCAACTTAGAATAGCATTCTAATGGTGGGTTGAGTTAATCAATATTTTATGAGGCGGTTGTAGGAAAGTTTATTTTTATTCAAAGCCGCAATTATTATTCGGATTTTTATGCAACTGCTAAATATCGTTGAAAGCTAATGTTTTAAACTTCAAACTACTGAATAAAAAGGTTTTACTTTAGTTTTTACGTATTTAAAAAAAATCCTGAATAGCGATAAAAACGATGCAGTATGATATGGCGTATGGAAATTTACACAGTACAAAGAACCAAAATTGTATTAAAAAAAAGAATTTAAAACCCAAACCTTATTATAAATTCCTTTATTCATATCTAAATTACTGTGTCGTGATAACTCTGAGCTTATAAAGAAATATGTTATCAAAATATGAATAAACAGGCTAAAAGCTACCCGAATTAAGTCATGGTTATTTTGTGTCACGACAAGGTGACGGGATCACACGAACGACTCCGGCCCGTTGAAACCACAATATTACCATAAGTTTCGCATCTCTATTGCGAGAATATTCAAATTTAGCTTTTTCTTTGACACATTTTGGGATACCTTAAATGATTTATGTTAAAGTTATTCAAGACACAATTTATTAAAAGGCACTCATAATTTAATAATGTTTATGGTTACAAGACACTTATTTATATTATTTTATATTAATCTGTTGTACCTGCTTACTACAAAATCGATCCATTATTCCTTTAAAACTTTATATGTGGTCGTAATAGTCATAACATATCGGACTTTGGAGGTAACATCGTTTTTTTTAATATATTTATTTGCACCATCAAATTATTCTACATATATTATTAATGTAGTTACGATACAAAGTTTTTTACATACATTGATATCGATATCCCACTCAACTTCTAAAAATCTCTTTTAACAATGAAAGATGCCAGAAACAAAAATATATGTTGCATGAATGGGGCGGCGGACTAGGCCAGTGCAATACCATGACCACAAAAAGCCAGGCGTGCAGTGGATACAATTCCGAATTTCGTCTCCTCTAATTTAAGTTCTCTTTCCCTTCCCACTTCATAAGAAGGGGGAATTGTTTTCTTTCCGAGCGTCGTCTCCTCTATCGGTTAAAGGCAACGCATCTGCAATTGCGGATGCTTTTGGCAGCGGTTGTTCCGCTGTTTCGGCGAATTCAGGTCGTTTGTTCGTTTGCCATCTTATATTATAAAAAACTGATATTACAATGTTCTTGAACAAACGTTTTGTCAATGACAACTCCAATAATATTCGCCCACATATTACAATTATGTCATAACTGATTGAATCATTGCAATTATCAGTAATCTTTAAAAGAGCGCTGGCCTTAACCTACCACGACATCGAAATAATGCGGAAGGACATCGTTATAATTCGCCACACAAAATGTCGATTGAATCTCGTCGGTGATCTATTCAAACATTTTATTTTTTCTTTCATACGATCTTTATTCAATAAATAAAACGGTCACTCGACATTGAGTCTTTCAAATCAATAATTGACGTCTGATTGTGATTGCTAGTGATCGCCCATTGGTCGAAATTCGACTCTAATTCATAAATAAAGATTGTTTTTTTGGGTGGCCCTTTCGGCCTAATAATAAATCATCCCAATGGGTATATTCTATGGAGTCAATCGGCCTAATGGGAAAAATTCTAATTGTGCCGATTGAGCGGTAGGCCGATCGGCCCAACGGGAAACACCCTTTTCTTTATTGATTGCAAATAGTCTCATCTTCTCCTAGTAGTAGTAACTTTAATTTTGTAAAATTTTACGTGCAATGTGCGAAATATCCTAGAAAAATGGCTACATAATTTTTTCTTCACGTAATAATATGATAAATATCATTCAATAAAAGAATATCAAGTTAAATAAACTCTTACATATACAATCTTAAGTAATACGGCTGCCAGAAAAAAGTTATTTTGTACAATAGAAGCCCACGCTTACTATTGTAATTACATGGAAAGTACTTCAAATAACTTCTAATCTACTTTTTATCATAAATGTCAATAATTAAAATTCGCTTAAGACATGTCATCTTGCTAACATTATAAATGCGAATGTTTGGATGGATGGATGGATGGATGTTTGATTGAAGGTATCTCCAGAACGGCTGAACGGATTCCGCTGAAATTTTTCATAGATGTAGAACATAGTCTACAAGAATCCATAAGCTACTACATAAGTTTTTTTAATCCCCCGTGGACAGAGACGCGGTAGACAGCTAGTCTAGTCGTAATTATCTTAGCGTATCATTTTTACAAAAGTCAAGGTATTTAAGAGTTGGATCCAGTAGTATTTTGTGGATAGTTTAGAAATGGATCAATTTAGGTACATCTTTGTGATTCTTTCTTGTTTTGCCATAACAGGTACGTTTTAATGCTCCAATTTTGTTCTGTTGTTCTAATCCAAGATTACCTAAAGGTTCAAAAAAAATTATATCTGCATCTTCATACACAACATTGGCAACAAACTTTATCTTGACCCATTTTATTTGTCAGCAACGTTCGGCAAGCACACTCTTAGAGGTCACTCGACTAAAAACAACCGAGTGGTCGGTGGCTGCGAAGTGCCGATACAAGACTATCCGTATCTAGTGCATTTGATGCTGGCAGGACCTGAGTCTCACCAAACCAATGTATACACTGTCTGCGGAGGAACAATTGCTAATGAGAAATGTGTTATCACCGCAGCTCATTGCCTCACAGGGTACGTACGCATCGAAAAAGTTCGAATAATATATAACGAACACCCGATCTTGTGATCGGAAATCCGTATCCTTAACCATTAGGCTATTAGCGCTCTGAGATATTAGCGTAGATTACCACGGAAACATCCATAAAACAAATATCAACCAACATGAAGAGCTACAGATTTTATACAGATTTTAACAGTGGTAGAGCCCGCTTTAACATCTTCGCACGAATTGGCCCGGCTCGTCCGGTGAAATACCACGACCACACAGAAGACAGGCGTGAAGTGGAACCAATTCCGCGTTTCGTCTGATAAGTGTGCGTCCCGGAGGCCTAATTTAGTCCTCTTTCCCTTCCCACCCTTTTTCTCATAAGGAAAGGATGGGAAGTGGAAGTGGACTTTCCGGATGAGAGGATGCATGCATTCCCATGGGAAGGGAAGATATTTTCTTTCTGTGCATTCTCTCCTCCGTCGATGAAAGGTAGGCAACGCATATGCAATTGCGTATGTCTATGGGCAACGGTCACTTCGCTATTTCAGCGATTTCAGGTGACCGCTCGCTCGTTTGCCACCTTATGATATAAAAAAAAAGATCTTAATTAGAGCGTTGGTGCAAGCGGCTGACACATTAATTTTTATTACAGAATCGTTGAAGCGGGAATGAGGGTTGGCAGTAAAGACTTTACGAATGGTGGAACTAAATACTTTTCTAAAACTATTATACAACATCCAGAGTACAGTAGTAAGAATTACGATATTGGCGTAATTAAGTTGTCGAACCCAATTGCGTTTAATAACGACACTGTATCGAAAATTAAGTTTCCGAGTGACAATTGCAGTCTTACTCCTGGTACCAACTTGACTACTCTTGGATGGGGTGCAACCGATGTAAGTTTTACAGTTGAAAATGTTTTAAATAACTAACAACTAATTATGATAATGCTATCAACGACATTTTGTCACCTTCAAATACAAGAATTTATGCAAAAACTACATGAACTTAGGTAACTAAAATATTTGTATATAATTAACTTTTATGTTCAAAAGAAAGTAGTTTAGAAATGAGATAAGGTTTTAATTCTTTTAGCCACATGGAGGCCCACTTAGCCAAAACTTAAAAGCAGTAACTTTAGCAGCGGTATCAGATGCGGATTGTAAGAAGCTTTACTCGAACATCAGCCCACATATGATGTGCGCCGGAGTGTCTGAAGATGGCAAAGATTCCTGTGGGGTATGTTAATGAAATGTAATAGTATTAGTCCCATTGTCAGGGAGAAGTTAGTAAAGAATACGTATGTACGTTGTTATCAGCTGTATAATAAAGGATACAATAGTCTGATATCATCCAAATTCGTGAATTAATTGAAACATTCCGAGTACCCAAAACCAACGTTTATGTATGTATGCGTAGATATATGCATATGAAAGTGCTAGATGAGAGTTACAGGACTGCATCAAATCAAAGCAGTGGTCTCTGTATACCTCTGTGAGTTACGAGAGGGTTGTGTTGGTGTTTTACTATATTTGTCGTTTAGTTTTAAATTAAGCATTAACTAGCGTTCGCCCGCGACTCCATCAACAAGCTATGTGTTCTTCCAGCTATGTTCAATATGTATGCCGAATTCGTCGAGATCCATTCAGTTCTGGAGATACCGTCTAACATACATTCATCCATCCATTCAAACATTCTCATTTATAATATTAGTTATATTAGTAAGATATAATGGTACTTTTTTATACAGGGTGATTCCGGTGGTCCAATAATAGTGACGGAAACTAAAGAGCAAGTGGGCATCGTGTCGTTTGGGTTTACTTGTGCCAAAGCAAACGTACCTGGTGTTTACACTTATCTTTGTGATCCGAGTATACAGAAATGGCTGAAGGAAATGGAATGCGCCTAAGCAATTATTCGTGGTTATTTGTTGCGTAGAATATGAAAATAAAAAAATATATGAAAAAAAAAATGGAATTGTTTGGTTATTTTTTTTGTGCCTAAAAAATAAACAAAAATGTTCCTGATGAAAAAGTATACGCAACGAATAATCACGAGTTCTTTCTATCTTTTTCTGTTATCGATTGTTACTTTAAAAAAACTTTTTGTCGATATTTTTTGTAAAATAGACACTGTTTACCAATAAATAAACTTTTACTGTGTGAATTAAATTATTTTTCTTTATTTACATATGACATATCAACGTTTTTCTACATTTTCAATCACTTATTTACCAATAAAAATTAGCTCCCGTACTTTTTTTGTCTCAAATATCTTGTTCGTGTAAAAATATGGCCTATTAAAGATTAAAGCGCACTTATTTTTTTAAGAGTTTTCGAAATTAAAAATACATTTTTGGGTTGTGAATGTATTAATGAAGATTACACAAATAATTGATAAAAGAAAATCTTATATAAATTACACTTGAAACTGCCAAATAAACAGATGAATTAAAAATATATATGTAGTTAATTGAGTGTCATGTGACGCAGGAGTTTAAGCACTTGACTTGTAACCGCAGATCCTAGGTTCGAATCCCACTATGTCCAACGTGTTTGCGATTTTAGATTTACGACGTTGTTACGGTGAAAATATCATGACGTAACCTGCACATAAATGCGAAGAAATTGAAAGATATGTGTGAAGTCAACGTTGTTTGTTATGGCCTAGTCACCCATGACTTAAGGTAGACTCGGAGCTCCTCAGTGGGGACGCAGAGTAATCTTATGATGAATCGTGGTATAAGTAAAAATAGTAGATATGGAAATTACATATAGACGGTTTAAACTATTCAATTTCTGGTGGTTTCCTGGAGGTTTTCTTGATGCTGTTGATAAATTATGTATAGAAGGTCATGTGTCGGGTCTTGTCTATGAGTTTTTTTCCCTAAAAAATACCTAAGCTAAGCTTGTTTCACTTAAACATAAAAGTAAACAATACTTTTGACAGAAATACTGTTGTTAAACTAAACAAAATTTATATTACTACCAAATAAGTAGTTCTTTTGAAAAGAATGAATTACCATGGGTTTCTGAGACCAAAATCCGTGTTCGAAATATATTGTTATCTCTGTTTTGTCAAAGAAAATGACAAGGATCTCGATATGTTTTGTATAGAGATTTTGGTCACAAGAATCAACATTTAGATGGATATCGTTGTCGAGGAGTAATTTTCATGTTTGAATATTAATGTCATATTTGAATAACCGAGAAATATTTGTTATCGTATGCCTACCATTGAGATTTGAACCAGACCTTCTACTGTTTAACCTACTTATTGTGCTCATTTGATATCATTTAAATCAAGCGAGGAATTTATTGGACTTTGATAGCATATAGAAGATACGTTCTTGTTATCTGTTAACATCTAACATTTATTACAAGAACGAAAGAGGGGTAGGCAGAGTCACATCACACAGCACATCAAAATATCATAGCATGAAAATGTTAATATTTAAAAGTCTGAATGAATATTAATCTGAGTTTATTTAAAAATTAATTAAAAATATAAAGGTCATAAATATATATTTTTTTTAATTTGAGATTCTGATTTTTTTTGCTTTCGATGTTGAGATAATGTTTCCAGTTTAATTCCTGGAAAATTAACAATTTTTTATTTCCATCAACAACGTAACACGGTATAAACATGTTTTTGGTTAGTTCTGAAACATTTTTATCATTAAATATAGCAGAATTTATCCCAAGAAAATTAAAAACCGCGGAAAATAACCGGAAAACTACTCTTCTTTTTAAACGCCCTTCTTATCTGTTGTTCCAATAATTATCAAAGATTAAAAATCGTTTAAAGTACGTTATCTTTTTCATAATTATCTCAAGCAATGTCTATAGAAAAGGTATGGTATATAAAGAAAAACATTCAAATGAAATATAGGCTTCACCAATGAGGACAGAAATGGATCGACTTAATTTTGTCTTTGTTGTTTTCCTTTGTCTAGCTGTTTCAGGTGCGTAAAAAAGATAAAATTTTATGTGAAAATTCTCATTTTAATTATAGTCGGCATATACATAAACTGTCAGTAAATAAGCCCTGAGGATTTTTACACAATTCGACAATTTATAAACTGCCAGAATTATCTTTCAAGAAACACAGTGTAAAAAATATTTGCATTTTTAATTTGAAATGACTTTTTTTCTCAGATGTGTATTGCAAGTTACCTCGTAAAGTTCACAAGACGAATGGTGGTAAGATAGTTGGAGGCAGTGAGGCCTCTATACAAAACTATCCTTACCAAGTTTATTTGTTACTGAAGCAAGCCTTCACAGGAGATTATTACCAATGCGGCGGGTCCATTGTCACATCGCGATGCGTCCTCACGGCTGCTCATTGCATAACCGGGTATGTACTCATTTATTAAGAAAAGAAAAAAAAAGTCGTCCGACTAACAAATTAAATTATTCAAACTTTCGTGAGTCATATCAGTCCGACTAACATTTTATATTTAGAAAACGGTCTCACTGTGATTATGATTATGGCTACAATTATGAATTCAACTTCAAAAAACTTTACCCTCTAGTCATTCGGGAATATGTAAACACGTGTAGGTTAACACAGTTTTTTTTAACGTTGTCGCGGACGAAAGTAGGAGGAACATAGGGGTTTAGTTGGTGCTTCTCATCGGGAGAGAACCCCACATCACTATCGCGTTCGTTTTGTGGGCAAATTATACGTAAAGCATTCCCCACTGGACAAAATAGTTAAGAGAAATAATTCTAAATTGTACAACATATTAAAGATTTTTTATATTTTAGTATGGAATCTGTGAACATCAGAGTAGGCAGTACCGACGCATCCAGTGGTGGCACTACTTATAACTCCAGAACAATGATAATGCATCCTCAATATAACGCTGGGAGTAGCGACTACGATATTGCTGTGATCAGATTGTTGAGACGTATCAATATAGACGGTACTAACAGTACAACAGTCACATTGCCGTCTGGGAACTGCACCGTACCTGCGGGCACTAACTTAACTGTTACTGGATGGGGTGATACTATGGTAAGTGTATACCTAGTTCTAAACATTTTTACGACTTTTGAAACATATCATAATCCTTTTCCTTTTATAGTTGACTATTATTTCGCGCGGGATTACAAAAAAACTTTATAAGTCTTATTTTTTACTAATTATTATAAATGCGAATGTTTGGATGGATTTTTGTTTGAAGGTATCACCTGAACGGTGTCATGGATATTCGGATCATAGCCTAGAACAGCACATAGGGTACTAATTAGGTTCTATAGTTCTGCACGGACGGAGTCGCGGCCAATAGCTAATAGTCTATATGTTCTTCCAGACTATGCTCTACATCTATGCCAAATATTAGCGAGATCTATGAAGGCGTTCTGGATATATCTTCTAACAAACATCCATCCAACTATCCATCCAAACATTTGCATTTATAATATTAGTAAGACGTACCACGGATTCGACCGAAACTATTTTCGTCATCGTGCTTAGAATATGTAAAATACTCATCTGTGAAATCTCAGTATTTTTGTGTTATTAGCGAAATGCGTTATTCCTTTAGGAAAATGGAGTTAGCAGCGAAACTTTGATGGCGGTGTCGGTTGACGCGGTGGATTACGATGATTGCAAGAAGGTCTATTCGAACTTAACTCCAAGGATGATATGTGCCGGTGTGCCTGAAGGCGGCCGAGATTCTTGTCAGGTATGGTCTATTTAACGTGAAAGATTATTATATATTCATAATTTTTAACTAGTGCAATTATAATCCACTTTACAAAATTTGTTTTGCTAACCTATCAACAGCGGGCAGGTTGTGAGCTAAATGTTTCCTTCTTGTTGTTAATTGCAGGGTGATTCCGGTGGTCCATTAGTAAAAACTGGTACCAAACAACAAGTGGGTGTGGTATCGTTTGGTATGGGATGTGCAAGACCTGGTACTCCTGGCGTGTATAGTAATTTGTGTAATCCAAATATTCAAAGATGGATTAGAATGATGGGTTGCGCATAAATTGTTAATTCTTGTACTTATTTGTTGTGTAAATCAAATATAGATCTATGAGATCTAGATATCAAATTGACACGAACATACGGACATATTTTTTTTAATTATAATACACAGCAAAACAGTTTCAGTTTTAATAATGATTGTCTACTGTTTGTAATTTTTGATGCCGATGATTTTCTTGATTTGTATATAAGACACTGTTTACTAATAAATACATAAGACGATTTCTCAGTTATTTTAATTCCAGTCTTTGTAGAAATGAAAATGACAGGACAAAGGTATAACGGATTTTATCCTTCTTATCCACTTTGAAATCTAATAATAATATTAACAGATCATCTTATTTGGGAAAGATAAATCTAAACATTTTAAAGACAACATAAAGGATTTTCTTTTTTTTTTCGTTACAGGGCAAATTGCTTTATAATACGAGTATAAAAGTTTAATTTGAAGCGCCAATAACCTAATGGTTAAGGGTACGGATTTCCGATTGTTTAGTAAAGGGTCCCTATCCAGCATTGATTATTGTTAACCAAATCCTTCTATAATCTGAAACTTGAAATATTGGTTAGAAAAATCAGTTAATCGTACTAATTTCTTACTGATATTGTACGTGCAATTATTTGGATGGATGGATGTTTGTTTGAAAGTATTATATCTCCGGAAAAGCTGAAGGGATTTTAATAAAATTGGGCACAAATGTAGAACATTGTTTGGAAGAACACATAGGCTAATTATTATGTTTTCTTAATTCCGCGCGGACGAAGGCGCGAGCGACAAATAGTTTTTTTTTTATAACAGAATGGGACAAACGAGCAGCAGGAACACCGAGGTGTTCAACGACGCCCATGGACATAAGCAAAACCAGAGGAACCGCAGATGCATTGCCGGCCTTTATATAATAAAAAAGGTACTTTTCGACATAAAATATTTAAAAAAAAACTTATGTTTGAAAATATTCAAACCACATTGTAGACGGAAATTTATGCAGCTGCTATTTTAATATTGTCTAAAAAAATGTCCTCGTAAATGCGCTAATGAGTTCTTATCACATGTGGGTACAATTTTCATTAAGTCATCTCGTAATAGACTGAAATTATCATAGCCATTGACAATCTTACTAATATTATAAATGCGAATGTTTAGATGGATGGATGGATGACTTTTTGTTAGCAGGTATCTCCAGAACGACTCAATTTCTCGATGAAATTTGCCATGACTGTAGAATATAATCTGGGATACATAAACTACTAATTAGGTTTTTTTTTAAAATTCCCCGTGGACGGAGTCGCGAGCGAAAGCTAAAGGTTAATATTTAGTATTTAAATGCACGCAATAAAGCCTTTTGATTGATTTCCAGATGAAAGCAGAGATGAAGCCGTTTACATTAATTGTAGCGGCTTTTTATGCTTTTGTCCTATCATGTGAGTATTTAGAAATATTTGTTTTTATTACTTACTACCTGTAGTCCGCGACTCCATCCGCGGGGAATTAAAAAAAATATTACTAGTCTATGGGTTCTTCCAGACTATGTTCTTCATCTATGCCAAAATTCAACGAGATCCGTTCAGCCGTTCTGGAGATATTTTCAAACAAACATCCATCCATCCATCTAAACATTCAAATTTTTATTATTACTAAGTAGTAAGAAGTAAGGTTACAATTAAATAATAAGACTAACTCGAGTTTCCATACTACGCCAGCAATAGTCGTTGGTTAGTACACGGTCTTACCGAGGGCCTCCAACCCTAAGATAGAGGTGACTAGGCCACAGTAATCATGCAGGCCTAGTGATTGACTCCACATACATGAATTTCTTCTTTTCTAGGTGTATCCAGTAAGCATATTTTGCGCGAAGTACAAACAAATGACGGCAAAATAGTTGGTGGTACTGAGACGACCATACAAAATTATCCATACCAAGTTTACCTGACATTGAAGCAAAATGGTACAAACAAATACTACGAATGCGGCGGGTCAATTGCAACTCAAAATTGTATTCTTACTGCAGCTCATTGTCTTACTGGGTATGAGTATTATTTGTAACTCTTTAATCTATTAAATACTACGATTAATATGTAAGACGCACAGATATAAAGGACTATATCTAGGTTTCAGGATCTCTAGCTGTAGCAATTTTCCGTCCCACTCCCTGACAGCTTAAAGTGTTGCCCGTATAATTAGCGAACCCTAACATTAGGGAACCCTAACACTATATAACTCCGTTTTGTTTTCGCCCGGACAGTAAGGAATATAAGTACAATTTCTTTCCTGTCATACATTTTTGACCATAATTCTTCAACTGAAATTCATAGACAATGAATAATTTTTAATATTGTTTAGAAATATTAAAATGTTTCTTATGTATATAACTAAAATAGCAACACATTAGGTTTAGAATGACACTATAATTCTTGTAAGCGTAACTGACTTTTTACTCGTAGTTTATGCACAAAAGGTCACCACAGTCATAGAAAACCTAACGTGTGTAGCCTGCATAGTATTTGATTAATTACAGAATGGAGTCAGCGACTGTAAGAGTGGGTAGTACATATCGATCAAGCGGCGGTAGTACTTACAGCTCAAGAATGTTAATACAACATCCAAAATACAACGCCACTACGAGTGATTATGATGTTGGTGTCATCAGGGTGTTCAGACGTATAACAATTGACGGTGTCAACAGTTCGCTAGTGTACACACCTAATTATAGCTGTGTTGTACCAGCCGGTACTAATCTGACTATTACTGGATGGGGTGATACTACTGTAAGTTATTTTGGATTCTATGGTCATTGACCAGTATCCATAGTCATTTGCAATATTAAAATGTTGGTGTTGCCTACTTCTATTTTACAGAGGAGAGTCCATTCATCCAGAATTCAATTTATGAAATGTTACTGAATTATGGACGGTGGATGGTCAATTCATTGATATTGCATTTTTTTTTTTAAACCAAAAAAAAATAGTTTATTATTTCTTATTAACTCTTGCGCGTATTACCAAGAGACTTTTCTAAAAATCCATCACTTATTAAATATTTTTTAAACTAATTTTATATTGACATTAATAATTATAATATCTTGTAGGAAGGAGGAACAGATAGTGAAACATTAAGAGTGACAACTATCAATGTAGTCTCTGATGAAGAATGTAAGAAAACATATTCGAATTTAACACCTCGTATGACTTGCGCTGGCGTACCTGAGGGCGGGAGGGACACGTGTCAGGTACACTTTGGCAATAATAATTTGCCTCCTTGACGCATAGATATCAAATTATTATTAGTAATTAAGTAGGACTGCTTTGGCAGTTTTATTCCAAGCCGTTATTTAGTTCACAATGTTTTCATATTTGTATGTATAATTTAAATTTAAAAACTAAGGCTAAGTTAAAATACTAAGATTACATTATTTATTACGTAAATATGTAATATATTATTAGTTTTTTTCTGTAAATACACATTTTATTTAACTTACCACGGATTTCTGATACCAATAATGTCTGTTAAAAACATATACATCCCTGTCATTATCTTTGTTATTCTCAAAGATAATGACAGGGATGATGATATGTTTTATACATATATTTTTCTATCGGAAAATACGGTCAATCGTTATAAGTAAAATGTTAAATTAATTTTACGTTCTATTGTTTAAGTATTTAATTATTTACAGGGTGACTCCGGTGGTCCACTTGTTATAACAGGAACAAGATTTCAATTAGGTATTGTATCATACGGCAATGGATGTGCTAGACCGAACACTCCGGGAGTTTACACCAATGTTTGTAACAGAAGTATTCAACGGTGGATAAATAGAATGCGATGCTCTTGAAATACTGCACACAGTAATTTTACACTAAGCTTGACGTTGATTGTTATATACATATTATGCTATTTTGAATGTAATTAATTCGTTAATAAATAAATTTATCCCAAAATTAATTTGAACAAATTATAAATAAATTTATTTTATTGTAGTTTGATTTTTATTTAAACATTTTGTACATGAAAACACACGTAATAGTCAGAAGAAACAGTAAAAATATGTATAATAATAAAAACATAAGTAAATTATGGCTCACTACCGCCCCTCTATTAATCTATAATAAGTATCACAAGAATCTTGTTGTACTGTACCTGGGTAAACTAAGTTAGACGAAACCTATTCACTTTCCTAAAATTACTAAGAATCCAATATTTACGCAAAATTCTTTTATACTACATAAGTAAATTAACTGACTTTTGACATTGAACAATATCAATTGATGTAGTTAAGTTATGTTGGGAAGAAAATCCGAAAATGTTGCAGTGTATTGACCCAACACTAGTCTTACTAAAATGTCGACGTTTGTGTCCCCTCACTTTTCATTCTGACAGTTGACTTTGTAACGAAAGCACGTCACTCGCATCAAGTGATTCTATATAATAAAGTCTTAAAGTTAGATAAAATAAGATTACAGAAAACACCAACGATTTTATTTATGTCATGTTTTGATGAACAAGAGATTGACAATTTCATTTTGTTTACAATTCAAGATTTTGATTTACATACTTTAGTAGACGTTGCAATATACATCTTCTTAAATGGTGGCATCCTTCAGTACCTTATCGTTAAAAAACTTACAAACTGTTTTAATTTAATATTAGCTTAAATACATGTCGATCCTCTTTTCTACGCTGATATTAGACATTACCAGAACTCATACTCAACAGTGGTAGAGCCCGCTTTAACATCTTCGCACGAATCGGCCCGGCTCGCCCGGTGAAGTACACGACCACACAGAAGACAGGCGTCAAGTGGAAGCAATTCCGCGTTTCGTCTGATGAGTGTGCGTCCTCATCCTCTCGTCGTCCTTCAGGCCGGAGGCCTGATTTAGTCCTTTTTCCCTTCCTACCCTTTTTCTTATAAGGAAAGGATGGGAAGTGGAAGTGGACTTTCCGGATGAGAGGATGCATGGGAAGGGAAAATATTTTCTTTCTGTGCATCCTCTCCTCCATCGATTTAAGGTAGGCAACGCATATGCAATTGCGTATGTCTATGGGCAACGGTCACTTCGCTACTTCAGCGATTTCAAGTGGCCGCTCGCTCGCTTGCCACCTTATGATAAAAAAAAGAAAATATTTATTAAAAAATGATCTTCCGAGATGAATATATTCCGATTGTTACATATAAGTAATAAAATACTTAAACCAAAAGCAATTTTGGAAAAAATATCTAGGGTTATAACATACTCGTTTATAAGTACAGTGACGTCCATAACATCGACGTCAAAGTGTGTTTAAATAAAAAGTTTCTAACTGTACTTTTTGGAACAACACAGTTGGTCATTTATTAAATTGCAATTATTAATAAAATAATTTAAACGAATATTTGTTTGTAACTTCAACGCGACTGTACCAATTTGATTTAAATTTCAGGGTTCTATTTATAAAATCCCAGTTAACTTTGAAAATCGTTTGCAAGCGCGATTTCTTTTGTTTTAATTTCGTCACTATGCTACGACTCTATGTTTTAATTATATTAAACTTTAGTATAGTGTTCTAATGATCGCATTATTAGCGCACTTACTAATATTAGGACTTTTCAGGGTTCAAATACATGGTATGTGTTCTAAACATTTCTACTAATTATAAGATTTTTGCGAATTCACTTTAATTTTGATTAATTTAAGTAAGTTACTTTCAAAAGGAATCGAGTCAATTAACCGGACGCGTATTTTTTTTAATTTATGTAATTTTTTCATTTTTTTGATGATATTTAATGCATAGATTAATCAAACTTTCACAATAAATAAACATTTATCTGACTTTACATATTAAGTGATTGTTATAACATGGTCGTGGTTATAAATAATCTGACAAGGACATAGTAACTATTTTCATAATAATATTTAATAATTATTAGAGAAATTATATTAATGATAATAATTAGAAGTAATAGTCTTCTTATCACATGAGGGTACAATTGTAAACAATTACGAATAATGCTATCTTATTGTAGGTCGCTGTTAGCGCATTTTTTAATTATAGAAAATATTGTATTTAAGAGAATATCAACGATTGAAGGAACAGATTCATCAACAGCGAAGAAATGGAACAACACACTTTGATCCTATTAGCTGTCCTTTGCTTAGCCATCACAGGTATGTATTATAATATTTTATTTCAAAATATATTGTCATTCTAATTAGGTTATATTTTTAAATTATTTCCTTAATAAATGGAAGAAAATTTTGCTTTATTGTGGAAAGAACTTTAAAAAAATCCACGAAACTTTGAAATTGTCTGTCCCTTTATATGTTTTTCATTATATTTTTAATGTTTATCAGGTGCTATTGGCCGTTATTCACCTCGTCGAGTTTATAAAAACAATGACGGTAAAATAGTAGGGGGTTCTGAAACAACTATACAAAATTACCCCTACCAAGTGTATCTGGTGCTAAAACAAGCCGGTTTAGAAGATTACTACGAGTGTGGTGGATCTATTGCGACGCAGAGATGTGTTCTCACAGCTGCACATTGTATCACCGGGTGAGTAAAGTATCAATAGACTGGACGAAAATTATCAAAATTTAACGACGTGTTACCATTAGGAAACATTCACATATGTAAAGTGGCATTTGTTTGCTATTAACTGTTAGGAAGAAAATCCGAAAATGTCACTAGCCTTACTAAAATGTCGAAGTTTATGTCCCCTCACTGTTCATTCTGACACTGGACTTTGTAACGAAAGCACGTCATTCGCGCTAAAGGATTCTAGAATGTCTAAAATTATAATATGAAAATAATTAAAGAGCTTTTAGAGGAATGTTTATGTCCGCTCTATAATTGTTATTTAATTATTTGTTCAAACTATGCTACAAGTACAAAATAACATGACACCATGATACTATGACCAAATAATAATCTGTTAAAATTATTAAGCATTTAATTTGTTTATTTCTTTCATTAGTACTTAAAAAAATATTTTCTTGCAGTGAAATATCTTAGATTAAATTAACTTAGATTAAAACATTCAAGTTGTTATTAATAGCTTATATTTTTGCTTTAAACATTATTAATGTACTTTAATAAGATAAATTAATAGTGATATAAATTACTGTTAGGTGACTAGCACTCATATTAACGTGATTCTGACATTGACAAATCAATTTAGGCGCATGCGCGAGGTCGTTATTAGGTTGAAAGTTATAATAACGAATTATATGATAAATATACTATGTAAATATTTGTTCCATTCACTACTATGTACTAATTTATTAATGTACTAGCTGTAGCGCGCGACTCCGTTTGCGCGGGTTTAAAAATGACATTTAATTAGTAGCCTATGTGTTTTTCCAGACTATGTTCTACATCAATGCCAAATTACAGCGAGATTCATACTGATGTTCTCGACATCCATCCATTCATCCAAATATTCACATCTTACTTCTTACTATCTTACGTTGATGTTTGTTGAAAGTATCGAGAACGACTGTATGGATTTCGATGAAATTTCCTATATATGTAGAACACAGCCTTGAAGAACACATAGGCTAAAAAAATTATTTTTCTTTTAGTCCGCGCCGACCGAGTCGCGGGCGACAGCTAGTTTATAATATCGTATAAAATCGTAAATAAACTAAGTAAATATTTGTTCCATTCACTGCCATAGTAGTAATTTATTTATGTACATAAATCTATACGAGAAATAAATGAATTTTAATAGGAAATTGATTAATTCAAATAACAAAAGGCATACAATTGTCAATTTTGATACTGTTATCATATTGAAATTACATCGAAAGTTAATATAAGTTGAGTTGACACTAAAATATGTCGACAAGATAATTTACAAATATTTTGAAATATTACATGACCACACCCCTATTTCTTCTTGTAGTGCTTTTTCAATGCAAAAGGTTAACTGTGTGTATGTGTGCGATCTTTCACGGACATCTTCCCGGTCCTTTGTCTAACGTTCCACATCTACGTATTTTTTGTGCATCCAGAATACCTCTTCCTTTCAAACTTACCCATGATTATTAGAAGCAATTTGTACCTCTTGTACCAGAACACGTGAGCGATGTATTCCACTATGTTACTGTAATACGGTAGATGTAATCTATATAAAGCTTTGTTACAATATCGGTTATTTTTTAATTTAATTTATTACAGCAAAGAATCAGTAACAGTAAGAGTTGGCAGTACATATACAACGAGTGGAGGCACAACGTACAATTCCAGGATGCTTTTCATGCATCCTTTTTACAATTCTACGACATTTGATTACGATATCGCCGTGATAAGATTATTGAGACGAATTACAATTGATGGAACTAATAGCTCACTCGCCGAATTGCCTAAGAGTAATTGCACCGTGCCTGTAGGAACCAACCTTACTATAACTGGATGGGGAGATACAAGTGTAAGTATTCTTTTATAATATTCTGACAAGACGATTGGTATGTATATTTGTAAAATCGTAACCTTTTAAATCCTAGTAGCCGAAAATTTTCCACGGAGTGTTAATTTATAATTGCAAAATGTTACTTAATTTGATGATAGCAAGAAGATTACTAGAATAATTATGGTATATTAGGCAACTATATGTATAAAGTACTTCTAACTTAAGTTACTAGTACCTAGATAAAAAAAAGTTATAGTCGAAGTGGCAACCTTCTTTTTGAAGGACGATTAAATTAACATAATATGTCGTTAATCTAGTTTGGGTGATAACATCGTAGCGAATTTTACAAATCATGTAGTAAAATTTTTATTATTATTTTTAGGAAAATGGCCAAGACAGCCCAGTTTTAAGAGCGGTTACTATTAACGCCGTATCTGACGAGGAATGCAAAAAGAAATATACATACTTAACTCCTCGAATGACGTGCGCTGGTGTTCCTGAAGGAGGCAAGGATACCTGTCAGGTATAAAAAATATGTTATATTATAATTTTAAACTATATAGCTCTATTTGTACTTTTCACTGTTTTTTTATATTTTACACAAGAGCAGAACAGATTCAATTTCAGTAGCACGTTTCATCGTTCCGTCATCGTGTAAAATATGAGCTTACATCATAAAACAATAAACAAAAATTTTACATCTACAGGGTGATTCCGGCGGTCCATTAGCAAAAACTGGTACGAAGTCACAAGTGGGAATTGTGTCGCATGGGTACGGATGCGCTCGGCCGAATACACCTGGTGTTTATACCAATTTGTGCAACCCTGATATACAGAATTGGTTAAGATTAATGAGATGTCTTTAAAATATTTTTCTATGATTATCTTAGGTGGGCGTAATGCCACAATGAATGAAGAAATGGCTTGTTTTTTGGTTCTTGAGATCGCATATAATATATTTATTTTTCTTTAGTTAATGCAGTTATTTAAAGACCTGTAAATATTTGGGTTTATGTAGAACTTCTTTAAGTTTCTTGAACTTAAAAAGGTAAATTAACGCATTACTAAAGATTGAAGATATTGTTAGCGTGGTTGATCTGACACTGTTTACTAATAAACATTTATGCAATATCAATAACTTTTTTAATAAAACAAAATCCTATTGATGTAAGGTTCATCTATTTCTATCAATTACTAATGAAAACATTACTAAAGGGTTTACAGTTTAAAAGACAACTGAACAATACAATAAATTGCAAAATAAAAAAACTAAGATTTTAAACTTTACACAAAACATACACCCTGTAACTTACGAAACAAATCGATAGAAAGAGAACAAAAATTGCTGCGATTGACAAAATTCCGGTCGAATTCTGAAAGGGATTCCATAGCATTTAAATAAATGGTACCTGAGAACTTCTCTTGTACGTTGAAACTTTTTTAATTTCGTCGAAAAGAGCCAGGTGCTCCCGTCACCTTCAATTCTACGGACAAACTCCAACAGGGTCTGGGAGCCTGTCGGAGACTGATAACACATAGCTTATATTATCAAACGTACCACAATCATTACTTTAGATTTCGTTGATTATCGAATCCCGAAATTTATTACCTTCTAAATCTTTTTTTATTGGACAGTATACGACTGGAGTTTTTAATTCATGGTTTCCTTGAGGGTTTATTGATAGGTAACATTCACTTTCCTTGAATTATCATGTTTATTAAACACAGATTATGGCTACAAAGGTAGAGGAAGACCAAAGAATGTATGGATGGATTGTGTGAAAGAGGTTATTTGTAAGAAGTAGATGGATTCAGATATGACAGCTGATAGAGATGTATGGAGGATTACATACTGTACCGACCTTTTATAGATTTCGTAGAGATGAGGGTAGGTTGATAAAGAATCACAGATTATAACAAACATTAAGCATGTGTATGAATGTTATAAAAGTACATTGGTATCGGGTAACAATATACCTTATCGTTAAAAAATGCGGATATCTTAAAAAAATTACAGTAAGCTGTAGTGCATTGCACAGGTTCACTTTATATTTAAAATATATCTCTGTTTAGCAAAGCATAAACATCAATATTTAAAGATTTTTACTGTAGATTTAGGAAACGAACGATAAATGAAAACGTAATTAAGCAAGGGATAACTTTAAGGCAGAGTTAAAAGTTTGTTAGCTTCAATTATATTATTTGCTTCCTTTCTCAGGATTATCTTGTTGTTCGTCTGCTTGTTTTGAATAATTAAAGATTAATGTAAATCTTGATGGCTGAGTAATGGATTAAATGAGAAAGACGTTGACAAATAAATTAAACGTATTCAATTATTTAACATTTAATTTTATTTTAGACGTTACAAAGAATAAGTGCGGAGAGAAGTCGTTTATTCTCTCGTTACTTATTCTTTGTTACATTTACAAAACATATTAAACGTCATTGTCAAGAATACTCCTAATCCTTAACCATAGACAAACTGCATTTTACGCATATCGAAAATTATACAATTTTTCTATTGAAACACTTTTCCTCATATAACGATATGATATTAACCACCCAAATTTTACAATATCTCTTAATTTATTTAACAATTTGAATAAATAAACAAACGTCAAATATTGCAATGGCCGCCATGTTTGGAATTTGACGTGCCCTGACATAACTTTCTGCTTTTTTTGAAAACGAAGGATAAGAGTGCTTGACTAATTGTGAACTATTTAGCAAAGTTAGTAATAAGGGATTTATTTTTATAAAATGTGTGGTTATTACTCCTTCAAATAGACTTCCGGAAATTAGGGTAACTCAATGATAACTTTAAATTATGAAATAGTTTTGATAACTTAGTTTATTAAGGTTATTTATTGTTGTAGGTAATGCTGCCAGATGTTTTGTTTTTAATAAAATGAACAACAGTTTTCCACGTCAAAGTACCGATATGAAAAAGCCGAGGGGATTGTATCTTGGCGTTGAGATAAGGTATTTAATTTCCTTTCCTAGACAGACTGATGACGGAAAAGACGGCTACTTTCATTTAAAATTAAAACAGATATTTCTTTTACTTTGCTATCTTTTCTCGTGATCAGCGAAATGAATTTTACGCCATCTTTTGTTTTAAAAATTGAATAACGTCGAACTTTCTTTTTGATAAATTTATTAATTCGAAATTTCGTTTTTATATATATTATGGACAATAAAACGTCTTATAAATTGTACTACTGGTCCGATGAGTATGGTTTATTTTCCATCGTCAGCGCGGAATTAAAAATAACAAATCCGTATGTTACTCACGCTCACATAAGTTACCTTCCAGTAAAAATTCCGTCTATCCAGTCTTTGCGGAGTTTACTGGGAACAAATGTGAATATGCGAACAGACTGACGAAAATTTTGAAAACTCAAACAGACATTCCGTTTTTTTTAAATTTTGAGCAGATTTTATTAATTTTAAACATTAAAAAAATGTTACAATTATTATGCGGGTAGATTAACTAATTGCAAAACCTCTATAATACCATTAGTAAAGTTAAAAGAGATTTATGATTGATGTTGTGCCATAATTACGATAATCGATTACGCACAGAACATGTTTTGTTTGAAAAATTATTTGAAATATCAAGGAAATGCTTTGTTTTGTAACACAACATCGATCATGGTATATAGCGGTGTACATTTAGAAATTATTGTAGGTGGACAGTAGATATTGAATGAATGTAATAAAATACAGTGTTACTGACTAATAAAATTATTGTTATAATTTTTATGAAAAACATACGAATGTTAATTATTTTAGCTCGTTGACGCCGACGCCAATTCGATAAAGATTGTCAGTTCAGTAATCACGTATCAAAATCTCTGCAAATTTCGACTGACAACAATTAAATGTCTTTAGCAATTATTTTAAAACGAACAGCCAGCCAGCGCTGAATTGAAAAAAATCTAGTAATAATTATACCAAATGGCACCCGAGGATATAGCTTTCTAACAGTGAAAGAAATTTTTAAATCGGTTTAGTACTTTCGGAGCCTGTTCAATTCAAATCTTTCCTCTTTATAATATTAGTATAATACGCTTTATTTTGTTTATCAGTTTCATGTTTAGAGATAAACTTTATCATGTGAAATAACGAAATAGACTATTTCGTTTTATCTCGATCCATTAACTTGGATGACAGGAACGTAGAATTGGGCTAGTGTAGCGGGTCCGGCTACATCCGCTCTGTGAAAGGTAATCATAAAATCTTCGATATTGCAGCGTTGCTGCACTTGCGAGGAATTGTTATTATAAAGTTTTCGCCGAAAGACATTTTTTCCTATAAACGCAATGTGGTGCCAAAGTTATTTCGTAAGGAATATGAGAGTAATAAAATTTGGAATAAATTTAAAATGCTGTATTATAAAATTGAATGAAAGTATTGGGGAATATAATTGTTCAATTTATACTAAACTATTACTTCTTATTAATCTTAATAATATAATTAGGATGGATGAATATTTGTTACAAGGTATCTTCGGAACGGCTCCACGGATCTTGATGAAAATTGACACTTTTGCAAAACGAAGCCTGGAAGAAAACATAGGCTAATAAGTTTTTTTTTATAATAATTCTGCACTATATGTTATACAAGAATTTACAATCTACCATAAAATTTATTATTTGAATTTTTAAAATTGGTTTAAATATATAAATGTAGCAATTTAGAATGGTGTGTATGTCAATTTCTAACTATAAAGTGGTATTAACGAAAATGCTCGAGCATTCCCAGAAAGGTTATTGAAAAGGGGACAAAGAGCCGGGCACTGCAGAGACGTCGCTATAAATGTGAACTGAAGGGCTTTGTCAGTAAGTTGAGCGTACCTCTTCACTGGCAGTTGCAATTTGCATTACAATAAATTTATATTGAACGTCCCAGAGCAGCGTCCCGTGATCGCTTTAAAAGCTTTATTCAGAAACCGATTACTTTTCTAAATGCCGACTAAATTATTTCACAAATCACGTTTTCATATCACGTACACTCTGGCCTGATAAAGTAGGTTTTCTATAGCCGCGGTATATTTGGGTTCGCTGTACTTTTTCACGTCGTTTCAAAAGATTATTAAAATGTTGTATATTGTAGGCGTGTTTCATCTAAATGTGAGCATACTTAAATTAATAACAATAACTTAAGTATACCAAAGATCAATTAGTTTGCTTTGTGAGTATGAATCAATGTTGTTTTTACGAATGTCAATGAATTTATAAATTGACTCTTCTGTAACTATATACTCTATGACGCGTAGTTAAGAAAGTCTTGGCTGAAACGATGAGTAAAAGTCACATTACGAATGAAAAAGCGCGGGATTGTGGTAATTGAAAATTCTCTGTGTAATATACGACTTGCAATTTCAGGGCGGGGCAATTCGGCGCGGTCCTACAGGGCGGACCCATTTTTCTTTACGTTTAACGATATTATTTAACGCCACAAATTTTGCCATTTTTCTTATGGCCTCCAGACCTGCGGGCAATTTCATTATGGTAATCGCACATTATTTTACTTTTAGCTTACGGAGCGTTGGTAGTTGTTTTAATGAAAAAAAATTCGGTTGGAGTGCCGTGGTACTATAAAAAAACTCAAAATACTTCTGTACAAATGTTATTTCATCAATTTTATACTGGATATATACGTAATTTTTATGATTGTAACTATTCTTAAACATGGAATCTAGTGGCCCAGTCTAGTACCTTTTGTATTATACCAAACCACACTTTCTTGTGGTTAAATATAATGCAACAAAAAAAATGCTTATTTTCAATACATTTTTAACAGTAAAACTACAGCAATTTTTTGCAGCTAGTATCACAAAATAGTTGAAACATTAACACTTTTCTTTGAAGAGTGAAAAAAGACGGTAAATGAGAATCAAACATTACAGGATT